ATTAAATGTAATTTGGAAATATCCATTTTTAACTTTTTTATAGGTCTATTTAAGTGGGGTTTTTTTTCTTATTAAAAGTGAATTTAATGACACGTGATATTTTGTTAAAATGTGTAAAGGGTAATAATTTCAAGTTTTATTATATGTAAAAAAGTATTAACTTTTTTCCTTTTGTCAATTCAAATAAGAACCCCCTCTCGTTTGAAAATTTTACGACTTTTTTAAAGGTACCCCAGTGCAGTTCATAATATACTCGCGATTAGCTGCTACTTCTTAGTCCCAATGTCCTCTGATGTCTATCGTTAATTTGTTATTTTTTTAAATATAGGGCACCACTACATACTTCTCTCCCCTACCGTTTTATTGCTGACGTTATGACGTCATCAATTCATGCGCTCCTCAAGGTTTTCTCTCGCCAAACCGGTTTGACCGACTGAAGACAGACGTGTATTCATTCTGAATCGATCAAGCAGTTCAACACACGCACAAAATAAATCTCTCTAACGCAGATACGATATTTGAAGTAGAAAAGACAACGTTTGACAACTTTATTTTTAGTTTACGTTTGCTAACTGTAACAATATATTGATCGTGGGGTGTCGAGTCGAGGGTCTAGTTTGATGTGAGGACGTACATTTAGGTGTAGTTTGGCTTTAGCAAATTTCGACATGAACACCAATGAAGACCTGTCTAACAAGTTAGAGAGGTCTACTTCTACTGCAAATAATGTATTTCACCATAAGCTTTTGTTTTCTTTTCTCTGCAAATCGTTCATTAAAGAGTAAAAATATAATTTTTATGTCAGATATATGAATGGCTCAAGTAAGCTGACTTACTCTATCAGCGGATTTTGATATACGGAAGCTTCAAGATATATATGCCTATATATATATATATATATATATATATATATATATATATATATATATATATATATATATATATAATATATATATATATATATATATATATATATATATATATATATATATATATATATTCTAAAGATATAGGCCTATATGTGTTCGTGTGTGTACAAGTGCGTATGTGTGTGTATGTGTGTGTGTGTGGCAATATCAACGACTAAACCCTAGACAGTTTCTTTCACATCTCTCTCGCTATAATTATATAAATATAAATTATATATATATATATATATATATATATATATATATATATATATATATATATATATATATATATATATATATATACATACATACATATATATAATTTATATATATAGGCCTATATATATATATATATATATATAATATATATATATATATATATATATATATATATATATATATATATATATATATATATGTATATATATATATATATATATATATATATATATATATATATATATATATATATATATATATATATATACATATATATATATATATAGCTTAATTAATCAATACCCCCCTCCCCCCCCCCCAAACAATGATTACATCATCAATTAAGTGATGTTGCTTTTTCAGAAAAAAACATGTTTTTTTTCATGTATCACAATCCACTGCATCAAACACCCGTCCCCTTTACTCAGCAAGTTTGGTCACAATCCTTGAAACCGTCACCTTCATGCCCACCTTCCCCACAACCCCTCTCCCCCACCCCCACGCCTCTCCCACACCCACACATTCCACGAAATTGATGCAATGAATCCGCTTCCTCACTAAACTGCCCGGGTTCACGTTCACATACATGAGAAAAAAAATCTTTTATTCTAATCTGGAATATCTAACTTAACTAGCCGAACGAGCTTGCAAAACCAGTCCCTTAATAGTGAATTATAAATACTGAAACGTGAAATATTTTTAAACATCCAAGCAGGTATCGCATTACTTCCCCTTTAGTTTGACAGTACTTCATTGGAGATACGCACGCTTCGTTGTATGCCAATAGAGAACCGGGTGGATGGCTTGATGATAATTTTAGTTGATGTGGGTGGACTTGGTGCAGAGGCGTAGCGACCCTTCCCGGCGCCCAAAGACAAACTTTTCGATTTGCACCCCCCTCGAGATTTCGATTTGCACCCCACCCCTCAAACTTCCGATTTGCACCCCCCCCCCCTCGAGATTTTGATTTGCACCCCCCCCCCCTCAAACTTTCAATTTGCGCCCCCCACAACCTTTCAACTTATTTTTCCAACCCATTTTGGCGCCCCCTAAGCTCGGCGCCCGGGGACATATGTCCCTCCCCCCCCCTCGCTACACTACTGACTTGGTGGGCCCATTCAAAGACAATTTTCACTTCTGCTCAGTAGCCCAAACATGTTTAGAGTGGGAGGAGGGAGGGGGGGGGGGGGTGAGCTGACTTGAAGTCGAGCTATAAACGGTGGAAAAATACAAATTAACTAATTTTGAGATGTGTTACCGAACTGGACAAGATATAGCCAATATTGGGCCAAGATGTAGCCAAGATCTAGCCAATGTTGGGCCAATATGTAGCCGGGATATAGCCAATATTGTGCCAACATTGCGCCAGTATCATGCCAATGTTGCACTAAAATGTAGCCAATATTGGGCCAATATATGTGTGCTGACTGAGGCATAACTTAAAGGGGATAGACCCAGACAATACTGTCCATAATTCTAGAACTGTTTTCTATATCGCTTGTAAATCAGCCAAAATGCTAACTGTTACGACCAGAAGCCGGTTAAAAGCCCCCCCCCCCCCCCCCCCGGCACAAATCTGCGAAGCGAGATAACTATGAAAAAAAATTAGGAAACAGCTGTTATTTCCCTTAATTATAACAACGTTTTTTAAAAGTGCAATAGAAATAATAAACCCTTTCGATTCTGACGGTCCGTGGGTCAGGTGAAGTAGAGTTGACGTGTTACTGTGACCTCGGCATATGAAGAGACTGGTCAGCACTACGCCCAGCACTTTACCAACGTGAGTTAGGTACTCATCAGAGCTGGGTCGGCTCAGGGACTCGAGCCTCATGTATTAAACAGCTACGATCAGCTGAGACGTTTTAACATGTATAACATGCCATTGTGTAATACAAAGTGCTTGCATAATGAAAATAAGAAGATAAAACAAACTGGCTTTCTTTCGTTGTTAAAATATGTAAGAGATATGTATTTATCGTACAATAGTTTATTTGTATTAAACTGGTTTTGCCTAGAAATTGTGATTAAAGTTCATCATAAGCAGGACTTATGTCCCTTCTCCTCATACCACCCATAAATGACGTCACGCTTTTTTGACTATTTTTTACCTCCCTTTCCCTCCCCTCCGACACACGTCGTCACAGCCAGACCCCCCCCCCCCCTAAAATGACGTCTCACCCCAACCCACCCCCCACCCCCCCCCCCCCCCCCCCCCCTTAAAATTGCAGTTACATTTTTCTTAAAACATCGATATTTTTCCAAAATCTTGTCCGAGCTCTGTCAACAAAGAGTATTTTGAACATTTTCTATTACAGTTTATTAAAACCGTTTTCTAAAACGCAAAATAACGGCTAAAGCTCGTTTTTAATGCAAATACGTGACGTCACACCATCTGAACCCCCCCCCCCTCCCTCCCCCTCATCACACACCGTCACAAAAGTACGGACCCCCCCCCCCTCCCTCCCACCTACGAATGTGACGTTATTTATAGACGACACCTTTCTTAGTGAAGCCTGAAACTAGATTACTAACTCAAAGTCATTTGGGAAACAACCATTTGGATCTAGTTCTAAAAATAGGCCTACTAAAAATGAGTGTTGTTAATATAATAGTGTTTTCGAATTCAATTTTTATATTGGTATATAAACAATTGATTAAAAATAGATTGTTTTATGATAAGTGGAGTGTGCAAATTAATACAACGTACATTTAAAAGATTCTGAATGAAAAAATTCTTTCGAAATGAAAAATCAAACAGCTTTATCTATACCCGCTTGCATACCAACGTCAAGATGGCTGACGAAGCTTTATCGCGAGCTGGTTTACACTTTGACGAACTTAACAAGATTCGAGTTTTAGAACCAGAAGTAGCACAACAGACAAAAGAATTAAAAGAAGAATGTAAAGAATTCGTTGACCGTGAGTCTTTTTTATATTATGTTTTCAAACTAAATTTAGAGCTTAGATCTAAAAGTCTAAACTACTCTAAAAACTCTAAACTCTAAACTACTCTAAACTAAACCACACCAACAAAAAATGAGACTTGACTTAGCTCTAGAATCTAAACTAGATCTAGATCTCTAGTAGAATCTTAGAATAGACCTAGAATCTAGATGAGATTTATTAGAGATCTAGTTTCTAGTTAGAATGATTTAGACTTTAGGCTACACTGGGTAATCTCATGACATAATACTCGTCGGAAATTATCCAGTAATGTGTCAAAACAGTATTTAAAATGCAACTAAATTTACTAAAAGCAATCTATGCAAATTTTTAGACATTATCATTATGTATTAAAAATAATATGGTGCCAAATAAAATATGGTTAACAGTACTTCTGGCTTCTGGTAGTTTCCAGAACAGCATGACAGACTACGCCATGGTTTTTTATTGCTTTACCATTCTACAATAATAACTGATGCTACATCGTGAGATTACCCTACACTGATTTAGATTTAGGATGTGTTAGATCTCAAATCTACTAAATCTACACTTTTACTTATAGATCTAGCATGGTGTAAGAAAAATTGACTGAAAACAATTAGTAATACCATCTTTTCAGTTTATAGTTAAAAGACCTATATCTAGATCTACCAATACGTTCTATTATTAATATTTTTGTTGATTCAAATTTATCTTACTCAATGGTTTAATTTAGATCAATTAATCATTGATTAGGTATAAGAGTACTATAAGACCTACTTAAAAAATACTAACTTCACAGAAACTCAAGCACTTTAATAGCGGAGTGGGATTGAAGATAATCTTTTTGTTGCTTCTACTACTTGTCAAACCTATTTCATAGTTCATAAAAAAATCTTAAGCGCATATCTTTGAAAATCAACCATAATTATTATTATTAAACTTGACTATATACATAGGGTGTTTTTTTCCCTGCCAACGGTTTAGTAGTTAAGAAATAGTCTGTGTTGAACATAAATGTACTGTAAAATAACTTATTGTCACTGTTACTGTTTGTCTTACAAAATTCTGTTTTTAAAAAGAGTAAGCTGTATCTAAATAAGATTTAAAAAGTTAAATAATACTCGCTTTTTCCATAAATATTGTTAGCTTATCCATAATAAGTTGTTTTTGTTTTACATTGTAACAGCTTAAAAAACATTGTGTAAATGGCTTAAAATGTTTTTTTTTAATCTTTAAAAAACTACCCCAGGAATTGGAGACTTCCAAAAAATAGTTGGAACCTTCATTGATATGGTGGACTCTGTTGCCAAAGAAGTCGAAAAAGAAAAGATGAAAGTAAGTTGTTAGGGTTTTAAAATTCTTTTAACACAATACTGACAAATTCAATATGAGACAATACAACAATGTCAATAAATTATTATTTCTCCAATGTTATTAAAAGGTCAGTAATTGCAACTGTGTTTTGTTACACATTGATTTTCTTATGTGACATACTGTTCAATCAATAAAATGTGTTGCAGGCAATAGGAGCTCGTAACTTGTTGAAGTCTATAGCCAAGCAAAGGGAATCTCAGCAACAACAACTCCTTGCTCTTATCACAGAGAAGAAAATGCAGTTAGAAAGGTGAGCCCTGGTCATTCAGACATTTTAATTGTTGTAAACCTTGGTTATTTACAAAAATGACATACATACATAATATTTAATCTCCGTTTTGTATTTTCAAATAGCAGGATTAGATATTTTCATTTAGTTAATATGTCAGTGGGTTTTTTTTATTTTTTTTTTGTTTGACTGTCATAGACAAAGCAAAACAGATTCTTAAAAAAAAACTTACAAATAATTTTTTATAATTAGCAACATACATTTAGGAGTAGGATAATTTAGTATTTCTTTGAACATATTGTTTGTGTAAAGGACTCAAAGTTCTGTGCCTCTTCCTCACAACAAGACCATCTCCCTTTACTTTACCACCCTCCCCCACCCCCACATGCCTGTTGCTCACTTTCCTCCACCTGTGTCTATAATTGTCCTATCTCTACCCCCAGGTTGAGGATCCAACATGATTCACTAACAAAAGAGGAAGCCGGACAAAATGAATTTATTGAACAACTGGTGTTACAGAAGTGATCAGTTAACTCTTGTTGTGTTTCTTGTTAGTCACCTAAATAAACTCTACCATGTGTACTTTACTAGTTACCATGTTGATTTAAGAGACCAGTCATTAGTTTTTACTGCCGAAGTAAGCTAAACCATTGTCTATTTCCTTTAAATTAAACTATTCAAATTATATTTGATATTTATTAATTTTATATCAAATTAGTAAATTTAAAAAAATGTCTAATAATTATAGGTTAATATATTTTGATAGCTTAAGCTGCCTTTAATTTCCTTTTTTGGCAGTACAGTTTACACATAAATAAAAGATAAGATTAATGTTTCTGAGAACTATTGTAGAATTACAATTCTGTCTAAGTTTGTTGGTTAAGTTTTTATTATGAAATTATTTTTTATCATAAGATTGTTGTACATAAGACTGCAACCTACTACAGGTTATTGTGTACAAACATGGGTGTGTACAAGGGTGAGTGTGTACAAGTGGAGATGGTAATTTGTACTGGTGTGTACAAACACACTTAGTCATGAATCTATGAGATGTGTTTTGGTTTAGATGTGTGCTAGAATATGTGTGTGGTATGGTTGTTGCTGCAGGTAGCAGCATATGTGTAGAGTGGATTTTAGAATGGGAGTGTATGAATGTGAACATGTGTACTGGAATTGTGTACAGAAAAGCTGATTCTGTGATACTTATTACTACAAATAAAATTATTTTTTATTTCATCAAATCTTTGTTTGGTGATGTGTTGCTGTACTGTGTTGTGTGTTGCAATTTCATGTGTGTAATGTTAATGGATCTCTCGATGGAGAATTTACATGACCTGGAAGAAGACAGCAAGAAGATTGGATACACCTGGGGACAGTTGGAGAGACTAGCCCAGGACAGAGACCCCTGTAAAGCTCTTGTCAGCTGCCTTTGTCCCAGGAGTGATGACAGGCAAAACTTACCTAATGTGCCATCTGTGTATGTGTGTGCTGTTTAATGTGTGTGTTGTGTCGGTACAAAGTGTTAATGGTGGCTCAGCCTCATATATAACAGAGGGAGGTCAAACATCAAATTATAAAACAATTAAACATTACTCATATTCACAGTGGCAATGATCTCAAATGAAGAATTTGATGCAGACATCTTTTTAAAAAATACTTTTCTAAAACATACTATTTGCCATTTGCTGTGTGAAACAAAAGATGATGTCTCAGTACATTTTACAATGCTGATTCGGAAAGCATGTCAAACATTTTTGATTTTAAAAAATGTTGACGTTTATTTTAATAACATTGTGCGTGATTTAAAAAAAAAATTTGATGGGCCTCTCGAATAATTTCAAAACTATTCTCAGTAGCGTCCATTTGTAGAAGAGAAAGTTTTGTTTTGTTTACAAGCAGTTCATGGCCCAAGGGACGTAATTCAAACTTCACACCGAATAGTGATATAAACACGATTACGTTACTTGGATATAAAAAAAAATAAAACTTGTTTTGACTGATTTGGGAATATTACCAACCTGTAAAGTAAAAAATATATACTTTAAAAGAAAAACAACCAGTTACAGTTATTATGTCTCTTAGGTTAAATAATATTAAGACAACCGTTAATCAGTGGCGTAGCGAAGTCGGGTGTCACCCGGTGCGGCACTTAATGGTGTCACCCCCCAGAGGCGTAGTGACCCTTTCCGGGGACAAACTTTCAATTTTCGATTTTCACCCCCCCCCCTCCCCCCTCAAACTTTCGGTTTGCACCTCTTAAAATACTATTTAACACTCGAACAAATCACTTAAATTAGTGGAATTCTCATTTTTCTCTATATATTTTGCTTTTTTTGTCTTGGTGTCTTCCCCCTAAATGGTGTCACCCGGTGCGGTCCCATGTAGTAGATTACCCTTCCGGAACTCGCGGTGCAGGGGGCTGGTAAAGTAGAGTAGGCCTACTTCTGTTTCAAGACTGTGTGTGTAGGAAATATTTTTTTCATCATTTTTCAGATTTTTATCTATAATTATTAGCCAAGTATTCTGTCTTTTGTGTCACTTCTCAGCTCCTCGGTAGTATAGTGGTAAGTATCCCCGCCTGTCACGCGGGAGACCGGGGTTCGATTCCCCGCCGGGGAGGAATTTATTTTTTCTATTATAAAACAAAAAGGAAATACCATAAAATTATAACATTGACAAAATACGATGACGCCATTCCCGAAATTTTATGCCATCGCTTCTGCTTACGTCAGTAGTTCTTGTGTAGAACGCATCTGGTTGTTTAGCTTGGAAAGAGATAAACATTCAATATTTTCTCGAATCAATTTTTCCTTGAGAATTATAATCACATTCCCTATTAGGTAAGCTCCTTATAATGAACAATAGCCTAATGAGCAGTTTCCAGTGTCGTCTTGGACTGTTCTATTATGGTTTACTTAGGGAGAAAATGGTTTCATGTAGAATCTAGATCTGGAGATCTAGAGTCTAGCTAGATCTAGATCTACACTGAAGGTGTCTAATCTAGATCTAGATCTGGATTCTAGATCTAGTATCAGGTTCTGGTTCACTACTAGATAGAATACTAGATCTAGACTAGATATAAATTCTAGATCTACCAATAGATCTTGACTATTAGTTATAATGTAAACCTGGTCTATAGACAACTGGCTTTTATTGAAATTTATAAATCAGGGTTTCTTTCAGGCAGTGCCCCACTCCCAACAGATGCCTGTATCTGTTACATACATCAGGGTACTAAAAAGTATATTAAATTATAATGGTGATAATCTAAGTGAGAAACGTTATCCGCTTAATGCTCTGTGTAAAGGTGGAATTGTAGCAGTTGCATCGGGATAATCCTTTTGTAACACGTTAAACACCATTTAGGCAATATTTATTTTGTAGTATAGTCTGGTAACCTTGTTCTTTAAGTTGGGATAAGGCTACACGTTATTAGAGAATAGCTTAGAAGTTTAATTTCCTATATGTTAAGTAAGTAGATTTTCCTTTCGAACCTGACAGTCCATGGGGCAGGTGAAGTAGATTTAACCTGTTTCTGTGACCTCAGCATTTAAAGGGATAATGTGGTCAGCACTATGTCCAGCCCCTTTAGTATCCCTAACGTGATTTAAGGTACTCATCAGAGCTGGGTGGCCTCAGGGACTTTTCACGCACCTGAACCAGGATTCGAACTCGAGACTATCGGGTTAGCAAATAATGCCAAATATGCTCTACCATTCGACCACGCCCTTTTTTTTATTACAGTTTTGGTCAATTTTGTAAGGATTTTGATTACAGTTTAGGTCAATTTTGTAAGGATTCTGATTACAGTTTAGGTCAATTTTGTAGGGATTTTGATTACAGTTTAGGTCAATTTTGTAAGGATTTTGATTTAGCTCAATTTAGCGCAATAAAATTTATTTTCTCTCCAGACATGACGATCCACGACGAGTAAAATGGTGACCTACATCACGACAAGATGGAAACGTAAACTTCCGGTTCCATGTTACTTCCGGTGTTTCACTTTCCTTCTCTGTAAGTACCCGGACATGTCCGATGTAGGAAGGGAGGGTGGGAGTAGGTTGATAGAAGGTTTGGTTGTTCCTGGGATAGGGTTGACGGGAGAGGGGGTTGGTAGGTTACTTCAGGTCTGGGGTGGGTCGGTTTAGTTAATCCAGGTGTGGGGTGTTCTTGTTATAGGATGTCATCCAACCACGCCCCTGCACATTCCGGCTCTCATGGCAACATACAGACTAAGCAGTTCCAGGGGTGTCGCACAGAGGCGACAAACTTTTCGATTTGCACCCACCCCTCAAACTTTCGATTTGCACCCCACCCCCTCAAACTTTCGATTTGCACCCCCCCTCCCCATGATTTCGATTTACACCCCCCCCCCCTCAAACTTTCAATTTATTTTTCCAACCCATTTTGGCGCCCCCTAAGGTCGGCGCCCGGGGACATATGTCCCCCCTCGCTACGCTATTGTTGTCGCAAGAGTGGCAGATATTTTATGACTGTTGATATCCTCGATACTGTAAGCAATAGATATTAGTGTATGTAGGATGTTTTCATAGCATCAAGCGATCGTTAAAGCCAATTGTAATGTCAATGAGTGCGTTGGTATTTAAGTGGTAGTAGTCTCTTCTACAAATCAAAGGTGTCTAAGGGTCTACCATGTGTCACAAAGTCGGGGGACATCTTCGTTGGTGTCACCATTTTGGTTGGTGTCACCATCTAGGTTGGTGCTACTGTCTTGGTTAGTGTCACCATATTGGTTAATGTCATCTAGATGGGTGTCACCATTTTGGTTGGTGTTACCCTACCTTTCCAGCTCACCCTCTGACACCACTGGAGATGTTTTTAATGGGAGTTTTAAAAGCCAACTAGCCAACATTGCGTTTCGTTTACGCCAAATTAGCATTAAGATTAGGTCCAGGAATTGATTTAGCAGCATTAGAGTTAGCAAAGTTTGAAACCTGCCGAGATTTTACATAATTTTTGTCAAGTACCATTAACATACTCGGGCATGACACGTGTCAAATTGTAACGTGACCAAACGGTCCATGGGGCAGGCGAAGTAGAGCTCACCTCTTCTTTGACCTCGGTATATGAAAGTATATTGTGGTCAGCACTATGCCCAGCCGCCTATATTTTCACCGAGTCAGGTACCCGATACAGCTGAGTAGGCTCAGAGACGTCTTAAAGACTAGAGCACGGGATCCGAACTCGAGACTTTCAAGTTTGCTGTCGTGTGTTCTATAATGTGACATGTGACGAACATCTAAATGCCCCTCCCACAGGCGTGGCTACTGTGACTGACGTGACCGTGGGTATCAACATGGACTGGGAGACGGTGGAGGACTTCTGCACCCTCAGCGAGACCATAGGGAGGTCTTACAAGGATGTCAACCTGGGGCTCATGCGCTACAAGCAACAGTGCAAGTGAGTACTCATTACCTCTCCCATTACACACCTCCCCACTACACACACCTCCACCACTACACTCCTCCCGCACTTCCTCCACTACACATTACCTCCAATACACACCTCCCCCACTACACACCTCCACACTACAAACCTGCCCAACTACACACTACAAACCTGCCCAACTACACACCTCCCCCACTACACACCTCCCACACTACACACCTCCCACACTACACACCTCCCCCACTACACACCTCCCCCACTACACATCTCCCACACTACACACCTCCCTCACTCACACCTCCCCCACTACACACCTCCACCACTACACACCTCCCCACTACACACCTCCCCCACTACACACCCCCACCACTACTCACCTCCCCCACTACAAACCTCCCCCACTACACACCTCCCCCACTACACACCTCCCCCACTACACACCTCCCCAACTACACACCTCCACCACTACACACCTCCTCCACTACACACCTCCACCACTGCACACCTCCCCCACTACACACCTCCCCCACTACACACCCCCACCACTACTCACCTCCCCCACTACAAACCTCCCCCACTACACACCTCCACCACTACAAACCTCACCACTACTCACCTCCCCCACTACACACCTCCCCCACTACACACCTCCCCCACTACACACCTCCCCCACTACACACCTCCCCCACTACACACCTCCCCCACTACACACCTCCGGCACTACAAACCCCCACCACTACTCACCTCCCCCACTACACACCTCCCCCACTACACACCTCCTCCACTACACACCTCCCCCACTAAACACCTCCCCCACTACACACCTCCCCCGCTACAACCCCCCCCCACTACACGCCTCCCCCACTACACACCTCCCCCGCTACAACCCCCCCCCCTCTACACACCTCCCCAACTACACACCTCCCCCACTACACACCTCCCCCGCTACAACCCCCCCACCCACTACACGCCTCCCCAACTACACACCTCCCCCACTACACACCTCCCCTGCTACAACCCCCCCACTACACGCCTCCCCTACTACACGCCTCCCCCACTACACACCTCCCCCGCTACACCCCCCCTCTACACATCTCCCCAACTACACACCTCCACCACTGCACACCTCCCCCACTACACACCTCCCCCACTACACACCTCCCCCACTACACACCTCCGGCACTACAAAACCCCACCACTACTCACCTCCCCCACTACACACCTCCCCCACTACACTCCTCCCCCACTACACACCTCCCCCACTTCACACCTCCACCACTACACTCCTCCCCCACTACACACACCTCCAACACTACACACCTCCCCCACTACACACCTCCCCCACTACACACCTCCCCCACTTCACACCTCCCCCACTACACATCTCCCCCACTACTCACCTCCCCCACTACACACCTCCCCCACTTCACACCTCCCCCACTACACATCTCCCCAACTACACACCTCCCCCACTACACACCTCCCCCACTACACACCTCCCCCACTACACACCTCCCCCACTACACACGCCCCCGCTACAACCCCCCCCCTCTAAACACCTCCCCAACTACACACCTCCACCACTACACACCTCCTCCACTACACACCTCCCCCACCACACACCTCCCCACCACATACCCCCCCACCACACACCTCCCCCAGCATATACCTCCCCCACCACACCACCCCCCTCCTACACCCACCTCTATTGAATGCCAACAGAGACTTTGAAAAGTTCATCAAGTGTGTGGGCTATGTCCGGGGTCACAGGGAAAAGGTGGCCAACCTCAACATCCCCCCCTACGACAAATTCTTCCCCGACCTGGACGACTGGCGCTACGCTGGCTTCCACTTCTGCAACAGTTACCTCCCGTTACGTGAGTTGGATTGTAGTACTCATCATTGGGGTGGATGTTTATGATTGTGGTACTCAAGATTGGGGTGGATGTTTATGATTGTAGAACTTATGATTGGGGTGGATGTTTATGATTGTAGTACTCATGATTGGGATGGATGTTTATGATTGTAGAACTTATGATTGAGTAATGTTTGTGATTGTAGTACTCATGATTGGAGTGGATGTTTATGATTGTGGTATTCATTATTGGGTGTGGATGTTTATGATTGTTCCGGAGGCGTCTCAACCTACCCTTCCTGGCGCCCGGGGACAAACTTTCAATTTGCACCCCCCCTCGAACTTTTCATTTGCACCCCCCCCCCCCCCTCAAACTTTCAATTTGGCGCCCCCCCCCCCCTGATGATTGGGGTGGATGTTTATGATTGTAGTATTCATGTTTAAGGAAATATTTTGTGCTCAAGAATGTGGTATATTTGTTTATAAAATAAATTCATAATTGTGGTAGATTGGTTTATAACTGTTGTACTCATGATCAAGATATATTTGTTTATGATTGCAGTACTGACTAGTGTGGTTGATTTTTCTGTGATTGCTGTACTCATTAATGTGACTGACTTTTTTTTATGATTGCTGTTATCATAATAATGGCTCTTTTTTAATGGTTGTTACACTATGTACGCTCATAGTTTCGATTAATTTAAATACTTATGATTTTGTCGAATTTGTTTATGATCATAATTCTCATGACAGTAATTTAAAAAAAAATTGTGTTCTTATGAAACGCCGGCAAGATTTACAGTACGAGTGCATGTTTTTTTGTTTGTTTGTTTTTCTGTTGGAATCGTGGGCGGGATAAGGACTTTGGCTGTGGTGGAGATCTATGGTGTATTGGTAGTAGAAATAGTCTCGATTAAGGACAACACTAGGGTTAAACTTGTGGGTACGGTTAATTTAAGGCAAGGATAAAAAAAAAACCGCGATATCAGCAAGATTAAATATTGAATACGTCCGTATATTGTTTTAATAATCATAAATTTAAGGCATCTGAATGCTAGCTTAAATGTATTGAATCGTTATATATTTAATATAAAAAATATTAAGAAAGTAACCCCTCCTGTCCAATATGTCCACACGACTAATGAACACGTCACTGCGATCTCCTTTGAAACCTGATGCCCACCGTCATTAAAAAAGCGTCTTTACCCTACCCCCATTTTCACCAATCAGTTAAAGTTTCTCCCTTCTCTTCTATACTCACATACAACCCCCACCCCCCCCCCCCCCGAGCCAATCTTCCCTCTGCTAGTTATAATACCAAAAAAAATCTCCCCCACCCCCCAACACACACATATAGTTACACACTTGATATCACCCACATTTTTTTGTACACATTTACCTCTCACACCCCCCCCCCCCCTCATGTAGTTGAAAGGATGTTTCCTCCCGAGAAGAGTATGGACACCTGCGTGGTCCCTAAAGAGCAGTGTAAAACTGACTTCATCAAGGACTCAGACGTGGTGTTGCTGAAAGACGCCGTGGAGAAGTGGGACGAGGCCAAGGCGAAGACTTTATCGTGCAAGTAAGTGTGTCTGTGTCTGTCTGTGTGTGTGTGTCTGTGCTTTCGTGTGTCTGTGTGTCTGTGCTTGTGTGTGTGTATGTATAGTGTCTGCTTGGGTGTGTGTCTGTGTCTGTTTGTGTGTGGCTGTGTTATTGTGCTTGTGTGTGTGTGTGTGTATGTGTGTGTGTGTCTGTGAATGTAATTTTGTGCTTTTTCTTGGGCTTGTGTGTCTGTGCTTGTGTGCGTGTTTGTGTGTCTGTCTGCGTGTGTTATTGTGTGTGTCTGCTTTTGTAATTTAGTGTTTTCGCTTGCGTGTCTGTGTGTGCTTGCGTGTACGAACCTCACATAACCCACAGACTACAACTCCTACTAACTTCAATCAGTTCTTCAAATAACCGTTTCTCATCATTAATAATTTGTGTTTTTCCTCTTCAACAATAAATGTTTGCTAGCCCTGCTCCCTACCAAATATTTCAGAGGTTGATTTCTTTTCAGTATGATGGCCCCTTATACCAACTGTATGGCCCCTTATACCATTTGTATTGTGATGGCCCCTTATACCAACTGTATTGTGATGGCCCCTTATACCAACTGTATGGCCCCTTATACCATTTGTATTGTGATGGCCCCTTATACCAACTGTATTGTGATGGCCCCTTATACCAACTGTATTGTGATGGCCCCTTATACCAACTGTATTGCTTTATTTTCAGAGTGATGGCCCCTTATACCAACTGTATTGCTCTATTTTCAGAGTGATGGCCCCTTATACCAACTGTATTGCTTTATTTTCAGAGTAATGGCCCCTTATACTAACTGTATTGCTGTATTTTCAGAGTGATGGCCCCTTATACCAACTGTATTGCTCTATTTTCAGAGTGATGGCCCCTTATACCAACTGTATTGCTTTATTTTCAGAGTGATGGCCCCTTATACCAACTGTATTGCTCTATTTTCAGAGTGATGGCCCCTTATACCAACTGTATTGCTTTATTTTCAGAGTAATGGCCCCTTATACTAACTGTATTGCTGTATTTTCAGAGTGATGGCCCCTTATACCAACTGTATTGCTCTATTTTCAGAGTGATGGCCCCTTATACCAACTGTATTGCTCTATTTTCAGAGTGATGGCCCCTTATACCAACTGTATTGCTCTATTTTCAGAGTGATGGCCCCTTATACCAACTGTATTGCTCTATTTTCAGAGTGATGGCCCCTTATACCAACTGTATTGCTCTATTTTCAGAGTGATGGCCCCTTATACCAACTGTATTTCTCTATTTTCAGAGTGATGGCACCTTATACCAACTGTATTGCTCTATTTTCAGAGTGATGGTCCCTTATACCAACTGTATTGCTCTATTTTCAGAGTGATGGCCCCTTATACGAACTGTATTGCTCTATTTTCAGAGTGATGGCCCCTTATACCAACCGTATTTCTCTATTTTCAGAGTGATGGCACCTTATACCAACTGTATTGCTCTATTTTCAGAGTGATGGTCCCTTATACCAACTGTATTGCTCTATTTTCAGAGTGATGGCCCCTTATACCAACTGTATTGCTCTATTTTCAGAGTGATGGCCCCTTATACTAACTGTATTGCTCTATTTTCAGAGTGATGGCCCCTTATACGAACTGTATTGCTCTATTACCAACTGTATTGCTCTATTTTCAGAGTGATGGCCCCTTATACCAACTGTATTGCTCTATTTTCAGAGTGATGGCCCCTTATACCAACTGTATTGCTCTATTTTCAGAGTGATGGCCCCTTATACCAACTGTATTGCTCTATTTTCAGAGTGATGGCCCCTTATACCAACTGTATTGCTCTATTTTCAGAGTGATGGCCCCTTATACCAACTGTATTGCTCTATTTTCAGAGTGATGGCCCCTTATACCAACTGTATTGCTCTATTTTCAGAGTGATGGCCCCTTATACCAACTGTATTGCTCTATTTTCAGAGTGATGGCCCCTTATACTAACTGTATTGCTCTATTTTCAGAGTGATGGCCCCTTATACCAACTGTATTGCTCTATTACCAACTGTATTGCTCTATTTTCAGAGTGATGGCCCCTTATACCAACTGTATTGCTCTATTTTCAGAGTGATGGCCCCTTATACCAACTGTATTGCTCTATTTTCAGAGTGATGGCCCCTTATACCAACTGTATTGCTCTATTTTCAGAGTGATGGCCCCTTATACCAACTGTATTGCTCTATTTTCAGAGTGATGGCCCCTTATACCAACTGTATTGCTCTATTTTCAGAGTGATGGCCCCTTATACCAACTGTATTGCTCTATTTTCAGAGTGATGGCCCCTTATACCAACTGTATTGCTCTATTTTCAGAGTGATGGCCCCTTATGCCAACTGTATTGCTCTATTTTCAGAGTGATGGCCCCTTATACCAACTGTATTGCTCTATTACCAACTGTCTTGCTCTATTACCAACTGTATTGCTCTATTTTCAGAGTGATGGCCCCTTATACCAACTGTATTGCTCAAGCTTACATCAAATGTAGTGAGGACTTCAGACTGCTTGTTGAGTATGAGCTGGCTAAATATGGAGGGTGAGTAGGTGGGGGGGGGGGGCTAAGTGGAGGGTGAGTAGGGGGCCTAGGTGTGGGGTGAGTAGATGGGGGGGCTAAGTGGAGGGTGAGTAGGGGGCCTAGGTGTGGGGTGAGTAGGGGGCCTAGGTGGAGGGTGAGTAGGGGGCCTAGGTGTGGGGTGAGTAGGTGGGGGGGCCTAGGTGTGGGGTGAGTAGGTGGGGGGGGGGCTAAGTGGAGGGTGAGTAGGGGGCCTAGGTGTGGGGTGAGTAGGGGGCCTAGGTGTGGGGTGAGTAGGTGGGGGGCCTAGGTGTGGGGTGAGTAGGTGGGGGGCTAAGTGGAGGGTGAGTAGGGGGCCTAGGTGTGGGGTGAGTAGGTGGGGGGGCCTAGGTGTGGGGTGAGTAGGGGGCCTAGGTGTGGGGTGAGTAGGGGGCCTAGGTGTGGGGTGAGTAGGTGGGGGGGGCCTAGGTGTGGGGTGAGTAGGTGGGGGGGCCTAGGTGTGGGGTGAGTAGGTGGGGGGCCTAGGTGTGGGGTGAGTAGGGGGCCTAGGTGTGGGGTGAGTAGGTGGGGGGGCCTAGGTGTTGGGTGAGTAGGGGGCCTAGGTGTGGGGTGAGTAGGTGGGGGGGCCTAGGTGGGGGGGCCTAGGTGTGGGGTGAGTAGGGGGCCTAGGTGTGGGGTGAGTAGGTGGGGGGGCCTAGGTGTGGGGTGAGTAGGTGGGGGGGCCTAGGTGTGAGGTGAGTAGGTGGGGGGCCTAGGTGTGGGGTGAGTAGGGGGCCTAGGTGTGGGGTGAGTAGGTGGGGGGCCTAGGTGTGGGGTGAGTAGGGGGCCTAGGTGTGGGGTGAGTAGGTGGGGGGGCCTAGGTGTGGGGTGAGTAGGTGGGGGGGCCTAGGTGTGGGGTGAGTAGGGGGCCTAGGTGTGGGGTGAGTAGGGGGGGGCCTAGGTGTGGGGTGAGTAGGGGGCCTAGGTGTGGGGTGAGTAGGGGGCCTAGGTGGAGGGTGAGTAGGTGGGGGGCCTAGGTGTGGGGTGAGTAGGGGGCCTAGGTGTGGGGTGAGTAGGGGGCCTAGGTGGAGGGTGAGTAGGTGGGGGGGGCTAAGTGGAGGGTGAGTAGGGGGCCTAGGTGTGGGGTGAGTAGGGGGCCTAGGTGGAGGGTGAGTAGGTGGGGGGGCTAAGTGGAGGGTGAGTAGGGGGCCTAGGTGTGGGGTGAGTAGGGGGCCTAGGTGGAGGGTGAGTAGGTGGGGGGGCTAAGTGGAGGGTGAGTAGGGGGCCTAGGTGTGGGGTGAGTAGGGGGCCTAGGTGGAGGGTGAGTAGGTGGGGGGGCTAAGTGGAGGGTGAGTAGGGGGCCTAGGTGTGGGTGAGTAGGTGGGGGGCTAAGTGGAGGGTGAGTAGGTGGGGGGGGGGGCTAAGTGGAGGGTGAGTAGGTGGGGGGGGGGGCTAAGTGGAGGGTGAGTAGGGGGCCTAGGTGTGGGGTGAGTAGGGGGCCTAGGTGTGGGGTAAGTAGGTGGGGGGGGGCTAAGTGGAGGGTGAGTAGGTGGGGGGGGGGGCTAAGTGGAGGGTAAGTAGGGGGCCTAGGTGTGGGGTGAGTAGGTGGGGGGGGGGGCTAAGTGGAGGGTGAGTAGGGGGCCTAGGTGTGGGGTGAGTAGGTGGGGGGGGGCTAAGTGGAGGGTGAGTAGGGGGCCTAGGTGTGGGGTGAGTAGGCGGCCTAGGTGTGGGGTGAGTAGGTGGGGGGCCTAGGTGTGGGGTGAGTAGGTGGGGGGGGCCTAGGTGTGGGGTGAGTAGGTGGGGGGCCTAGGTGTGGGGTGAGTAGGGGGCCTAGGTGTGGGGTGAGTAGGTGGGGGGGCCTAGGTGTGGGGTGAGTAGGGGGCCTAGGTGTGGGGTGAGTAGGTGGGGGGGGGGCCTAGGTGTGGGGTGAGTAGGTGGGGGTGCTAAGTGGAGGGTGAGTAGGGGGCCTAGGTGTGGGGTGAGTAGGTGGGGGGCTAGGTGTGGGGTGAGTAGGTGGGGGTGCTAAGTGGAGGGTGAGTAGGGGGCCTAGGTGTGGGGTGAGTAGGGGGCCTAGGTGTGGGGTGAGTAGGTGGGGGGGCCTAGGTGTGGGGTGAGTAGGTGGGGGTGCTAGGTGGAGGATGAGTAGGGGGCCTAGGTGTGGGGTGAGTAGGGGGCCTAGGTGTGGGGTGAGTAGGGGGCCTAGGTGTGGGGTGAGTAGGTGGGGGTGCTAAGTGGAGGGTGAGTAGGGGGCCTAGGTGTGGGGTGAGTAGGGGGCCTAGGTGTGGGGTGAGTAGGTGGGGGTGCTAAGTGGAGGGTGAGTAGGGGGCCTAGGTGTGGGGTGAGTAGGTGGGGGGGCTAGGTGTGGGGTGAGTAGGTGGGGGTGCTAAGTGGAGGGTGAGTAGGGGGCCTAGGTGTGGGGTGAGTAGGTGGGGGGAGCTAAGTGGAGGGTGAGTGGGGGGCCTAGGTGTGGGGTGAGTAGGTGGGGGGGGGGGGGGCTAAGTGGAGGGTGAGTAGGGGGCCTAGGTGCGGGGTGAGTGTGGGTCCTAGGTGTGGGGTGAGTGGGGGGCCTAGGTAGAGGGTGTGTGTGGAGAGGGGGGTGAGTAGAGGCCTGGGTGTGGGTAGGGGATTAGTAGAGACCTATGTGTGTGGCGAGGGAGGTGAGTAGAGGCCTATATATATATAGGCTATATATATATATAGGCTATATATATATAGGCTATATATATATATATATATATATATATAATGTATGTATGTATATATTTCAGAGATTGTCTAGAGGCAGCACAAGTCCAGTCCCCTGTGGTAGCGGTCAGCAGATGTGATCCCAGATACCGTTCTCGGGACCGCACTATCTCTGGCACCGCCTCTCAAAGTTCTGGCATCGTCCCCCTCACCATCCTTGTCGCTGTCGTCAGCCGTCTCATCATTGCTAGCCTCTGACCCATTCATTCGTCGTCAATCGTTGTCCATGCCATCAGCAGATGTACCGTGTCTTTAACCCATTTAGCCGTCAACCCTTTAAAATGGTCAGCCTCTTACAGTCCTTTGACTTTCCTAAAACTTTGCGTGCTATGTATGATTTGTAGCCATTGATGTATAATCACAATCAGATTAATGAAGAAATGCACTCAATATTATATTTGCATGATTAATTTTTAAACCCAGTGGGTTTTTTTTAAAATATCTCAAATGTAGTTAATTTTTTTATATTTTCTTTTTTTTTTTTTTTTTTTTTTTAATTTTTTTTTAATTTTTTTTTTTTAATGAGGATATGGTATTCTTTATTACCTTTTACTTTTTAAAAAAAGGTTTCATAATAATTATATATTTTTAAGAGAATAAATTTCTATTGTTAATTTAGAATAGTTTTTATTAATTTAAAAAATTGTGTTCCCTTGTGTATGACATATCTTTTGAATTGCTTTATTCTGAGAGGCAATGTAAATAAAAGTTTGTATAATGCAGTCTAGGATATTGTCTTTATTTGGTTAGAAGTGATAGCTCTTGTGGAATGGTAGACACAATATTTATTACAAAATTAAATGATCTGACTCGGGCAGATGAGGCTCGTTAGCTGGGGACAGCCACTCTTCTAGGAGAGACAACTCCAAAATCAAACAACTGCTGCCTTGTAGTTTGTTCTTGGTTGGACAAAGGCTATGGAAGCAAATCCAAAAAGAAAAGCAGGCTGAAATCGGAGTCAATGGCGCATAACCAGTTGACACGTAATCCTTAATTGTGATGGAAGCATTGTCGAGTCGGCAAAGCTCATGGTTGATAATTTCGAAAAAAAAAGTCTCGAGTTCAAACCCTCTGGCAGATAAGGTTCGATCCCTCCCAACACTAAAAATTAAGAACGAAGAAGAAGAAGAAATGATCTGAACATTTCAATTTGTTACAGCAAAGTGACGTCCCTTTGTCAAGAAGTGGGGCATTCGATTAGTAAAGTCTAGGGTTTTAGTCCTTGTTGCGTTTGTGAAAGTAGAACTGATGGGTATGGGAAAGAGCTGAATCGACTCATGGACGTTATGCTAGTCTTTCCGTTTGTTTTGGCTCAATGCTTTGGGTCACATTAAGATAGTATTTTGAAATAAAACAAATATAAAAAAACCTTTATAGTTTATAGCAACAAGCTTTTAAATGCACTGAAAATAAGAAAATAAAGCGAATTTGCTTTCTTTAATGAAAGTTTTTGTCGATAGATCTCATGAGCGACCAAACCAAATTAGTTTAATTTTTTTTCCAGTGCTTTGCTATAAAGGTTTTTATATTTATATTATTTTCTACTGATTCAAGATTATGAAATGAACAATCAGTAACTCGCGATATCTGAAACACGATTATCTGCCCCGTAAAATCATGATGACTAATTTAATATATAATTAAATTTAAAAAAATAGATTTTCATGCATTGTACTCAAAGACGAAGGCATCTGGAAAATATGAAGGAAATGGCTGCATTAGAATTGGGTCAAAATTGAGCTACAAGATTTTCCCCAAACCCACAAACAAACGTTGAAACCTAAGAACAGCTTGTAAAAAAAAAAGTAACTAGATCTTGAGAGTACACAAAATAGAAAACAAACTCTAATTTGTTTATTTTTTTAATCAAGTATTTGTTTTTACCATCACGATGATTTTTAACAGTGGAGACACATTAAAAATTACTTTAAAAAAAGATAGTTGAAAATTTAATTTCTTGAGATATTCGTTTTAATGTTTGCTTCAGCTTTTTAGCAAACAACACATTAAAATCAACAAAATGCAATGTATCAATTTATTTACGCAACACAATGTATCAAATATATATAATTTTATCATTTATTAAATTAATTTCATATTTATGAAGCCTTGAATACTACACATATTTAATTTGATAAATGAACATTATAATTTTATAAAGAAAATATGCCAAATAAACAGTATTTCAAACAATCACACACAAACATGTTATTCTTCACACTTCACTCAGCTGAGCGATATGTGATCATACATCCCTATTTTGAAAAAATATATATAGAACTCATCACATTTTAAATGTAATTCAGAACACTGTCAGCTTCTGAATATAAGCCCGAAAAAAATCGTTCTAAGGTTTTCAAATGTTAGCCTACAAAATCTATGAGGCCTCCAATTTTTGGCAAAAAATAAAAGAATAATGTTATCAATTAGGTTCTCATAAGTATCCAAAACAAATAAATCTTTAACTCAGAAAACAGTCGCCTGAGGTTTAAAATTTAACTGAGAAAATGTTCCCAGGAATTTTAATGTTAGCCCACATATTGTTGGTTAGAATTTTAATGTTAGCCCAAAAATTGTTGTTTTGAATTTTAATGTTATTCCAAAAATAGTTGGTTATAATTTTAATGTTAGCCCACAAATTGTTGGTTTGAATTTTAATGTTAGCCCACATTTATGTTGGTTAGTTTCAATGTTAGATCACAAATAATTGTTGGTTAGTTTCAATGTTAGCCCACAAATTGTTGGTTAGAACTTTTAATTTGATCTCAGACTGTCTTGATGTTGAACTTGTAAAAACGCGATGCGACATTGCCACGACAGACGTTAAAAGGGATGCAACAATGATTTAGCAGACGTTAAAAGGGATGCAACAATGATTTAGCAGACGCTAAAAGCGACAGGAGGATAACGAAGCAGACTCCAGCCCTCACACCACTCTGGCCACTGGTATTTAACTTCCTGCAGTCGTCGTTGAGGATGACCTTGTTCCAGACTTTGTGTTCCAGCAGGCAGGACCTGTAGGACATAAGACAATTAGGTCCTAGACTTGTCCTGTAGGACATAAGACAATTAGGTCCTAGACTTGTCCTGTAGGACAATATAATTAGGTTCTAGACTTGTCCTGTAGGACATAAGACAATTAGGTCCTAGACTTGTCCTGTAGGACATAAGACAATTAGGTCCTAGACTTGTCCTGTAGGACATAAGACAATTAGGTCCTAGACTTGTCCTGTAGGACAATATAATTAGGTTCTAGACTTGTCCTGTAGGACATAAGACAATTAGGTCCTAGACAAGTCCTGGAGGACAATATAATTAGGTTCTAGACTTGACCTGTAGGACATAAGACAATTAGGTCCTAGACTTGTCCTGTAGGACGTAAGACAATTAGGTCCTAGACAAGTCCTGGAGGACAATATAATTAGGTTCTAGACTTGTCCTGTAGGACATAAGACAATTAGGTCCTAGACAAGTCCTGTAGGACAATAGAATTAGGTCCTAGACTTGTCCTGTAGGACATAAGACAATTAGGTCCTAGACAGGTCTTGTAGGACATAAGAAATTTAGGTCATAAACATAACAGAATTAAGTCCTAGACTAGACAGGTCCTGTAGGACATAACAGAATTAGGTCCTAGAAGGTCCTGTAGGACATAAGAAAATTATGTCCTAGATAGGTCCTCTAGGATGTAACATAATTATGTCCTAGACTTGTCCTGTAGGACATAAGAAAATGATGTCCTAGATAGGTCCTGTAGGACATAACATAATTAGGTCCTAGAAGGTCCTGTAGGACATAAAAGAGTAAGATCCTAGACTAGACAAGTCCTGTAGGACATAAGAGATTAGACGACAACAAGGCTTTACACGCTGATTGAAATGTTTTCAACTTTGTGGCACCAAAATAAAATGTTCCAGAGTAGTCACAGGTAAAAAAAAGTAACCAACCTTTCTAAACTGATGAGGGAGGGGTGCCTTTTTATAGACAAGAATAACTATAATATACATGGGGGTGGGGTTGCTTTTTACACATAGGCAGGGCCGGCGCTACCTATAAGGTGAACTAGGGGGTCGCCTAGGGCGCTGTCCGTAGCGGGGCGCCAAAACGGGTTGGAAAAACAATTTGAAAGTCTGAGGGATGGGGGAGTCGCAACATCAAAGGAGTCTGATGTGGGGGGGAGGGGGTGCAAATCGAAAATTTGTCCCCGGGTGCTGGGAAGGGTCGCTACGCCTCTGATAATACGGGGTGCACGAAAAAAAAATGCGGGGGGAAGCGCTTTTAAAAAGTTTTGCCTAGGGCGCTAAATAACCTGGCGCCGGCACTGCACATAGGATAGCTAAAATATAAATAGGGGGGGGGGTTGCTTTTTCACAAACATAAATTATTATAATAGACGGGGGGGGATACAATTGATATCTCCCCCCCCGGGGGTCTGAAAGAGTCGCTAGGCCTCTGCTGTAGGTTGGAATAAAACAAATGAAACTCACGGTCCAAGGCGGGCAAACTTGTAGAGGAAAAACGACTCGAAAGTGGAGTTACATTTGGTGTACTCGGCCTGGATACATTTCATGTAGTTGACAGACAACCTGGAACAAGGGGAACAAGATAACGGGAACATGTTGAATAGAAGGATAAATGTTTAGTAAGATAATTGACAGAAAGGGAGCATGTCGAATAGAGGAATAAATGTTAAGTAAGTTAATTGAAACAGAGGGAACATGTTGAGTACCGTGTTTCTTCCAGACTTTTTTCTCCGGGGGAAGGGGGGGCGGGGGGCACTTGAAAATTTCGGGGGGGGGGGGCGGTAGGCTTTCTTCGGGGGGGGGGGGGGGGACACTGTTAAAAGTATATATTTTCTATATAAATTATATAAATTTCATTTCGTTTGGCGGGGGGGGGGGGGGGGGGGAAGGGGCTTTCCAGATGAGATGCCTGGAAGAAACTCTGGTTGAGTAGAGGAATAAATGTTTAGTAAGATACTTGAGACATAGGGAACATGCTAATATAATAGGAAACAAGTCACATATACACGAACAAGACAAATCCAATTGCGAACATGTGAAATGTGAAAACATTTGTCAAATATAAAATAACGTACAATACAGTATAGAAACAGACAAATACATTTGGGAACATGTAAAATAGAGTAAGGAACTTGTCATTTACAAAAGGAAATATGCTAAGTGCAACAAGGAACATGTAAATTACAATAGGAACCATTTCAAATATAATGGAGAGCACGTTAAATATAATATGAAACACGTCTAATATATAAGAACTTGTAATAACTGTAAAGATTAAGTCAAATACAACAGGGAACTTATGAAATGCAGTAGGGAACATGTCAAATATAAAACGGAAAACGTTACATACAATATGGAACATGTTAATGGCAGTAGGGAACAGGTCAAGTAAAGAAGGAACACACCAACCAATAAGCTAATTGTTAAAACCAACAGCAGTCATTTGATATACTGGTGCTAGCAAAGCCATCAAGTAGTCGGTTTGTCAAATACAATACTAAACTTAAGGAGAAACAATTCAAACACAAGAGGAAACAAAATTGAACCCGTAGGCAGGCTGTCAAATACAACTTTAACATTGTTTACTAGAAGAGGGAAGATGTCAAACTAAATAGGGAATAAGCATTGAAGTTCTTGAGACTTGCAAAATTCGCCAAGAAATGTAAAAAAAAATTAAAAGCGATGTGGATGTTCCGGTTGGTACGCGGGCTGTAAGTCCTGCCTGGTTTAGATAATGGTGTAGTAACTTGTCTTGTTGTGATTAGACTTAGTCTCTGCTGGTTTAGATAATGGCGTAGTAACTTGTCTTGTTGTGATTAGACTTAGTCTCTGCTGGTTTAGATAATGGCGTAGTAACTTGTCTTGTTGTGATTAGACTTAGTCTCTGCTGGTTTAGATAATGGCGTAGTAACTTGTCTTGTTGTGATTAGACTTAGTCTCTGCTGGTTTAGATAATGGTGTAGTAACTTGTCTTGTTGTGATTAGACTTAGTCTCTACTGGTTTAGATAATGGCGTAGTAACTTGTCTTGTTGTGATTAGACTTAGTCTCTGCTGGTTTAGATAATGGTGTAGTAACTTGTCTTGTTGTGATTAGACTTAGTCTCTACTGGTTTAGATAATGGCGTAGTAACTTGTCTTGTTGTGATTAGACTTAGTCTCTGCTGGTTTAGATAATGGTGTAGTAACTTGTCTTGTTGTGATTAGACTTAGTCTCTGCTGGTTTAGATAATGGCGTAGTAACTTGTCTTGTTGTGATTAGACTTAGTCTCTGCTGGTTTAGATAATGGCGTAGTAACTTGTCTTGTTGTGATTAGACTTAGTCTCTGCTGGTTTAGATAATGGCGTAGTAACTTGTCTTGTTGTGATTAGACTTAGTCTCTGCTGGTTTAGATAATGGCGTAGTAACTTGTCTTGTTGTGATTAGACTTAGTCTCTGCTGGTTTAGATAATGGCGTAGTAACTTGTCTTGTTGTGATTAGACTTAGTCTCTGCTGGTTTAGATAATGGTGTAGTAACTTGTCTTGTTGTGATTAGACTTAGTCTCTGCTGGTTTAGATAATGGCGTAGTAACTTGTCTTGTTGTGATTAGACTTAGTCTCTGCTGGTTTAGATAATGGCGTAGTAACTTGTCTTGTTGTGATTAGACTTAGTCTCTGCTGGTTTAGATAATGGCGTAGTAACTTGTCTTGTTGTGATTAGACTTAGTCTCTGCTGGTTTAGATAATGGCGTAGTAACTTGTCTTGTTGTGATTAGACTTAGTCTCTGCTGGTTTAGATAATGGCGTAGTAACTTGTCTTGTTGTGATTAGACTTAGTCTCTGCTGGTTTAGATAATGGCGTAGTAACTTGTCTTGTTGTGATTAGACTTAGTCTCTGCTGGTTTAGATAATGGCGTAGTAACTTGTCTTGTTGTGATTAGACTTAGTCTCTGCTGGTTTAGATAATGGCGTAGTAACTTGTCTTGTTGTGATTAGACTTAGTCTCTGCTGGTTTAGATAATGGTGTAGTAACTTGTCTTGTTGTGATTAGACTTAGTCTCTGCTGGTTTAGATAATGGTGTAGTAACTTGTCTTGTTGTGATTAGACTTAGTCTCTACTGGTTTAGATAATGGCGTAGTAACTTGTCTTGTTGTGATTAGACTTAGTCGCTACTGGTTTAGATAATGGCGTAGTAACTTGTCTTGTTGTGATTAGACTTAGTCTCTGCTGGTTTAGATAATGGTGTAGTAACTTGTCTTGTTGTGATTAGACTTAGTCTCTACTGGTTTCATCCTTAACACCTAACAATACGATGCGAACAGTGTCAGACACAAACCTGAAGGAATACAAACGATACAAGACACAGACCTATACAAACAATACCAGACACAGACACAGACCTATACAACCAATACCAGACACAGACACAGACCTATACGAACAATACCAGACACAGACCTATACGAACAATACCAGACACAGACACAGACCTATACGAACAATACCAGACACAGACACAGACCTATACAAACAATACCAGACACAGACCTATACGAACAATACCAGACACAGACCAATACAACAAATACCAGACACAGACACAGACCTATACAAACAATACCAGACACAGACCTATACAAACAATACCAGACACAGACACAGACCTATACGAACAATACCAGACACAGACCTATACAAACAATACCAGACACAGACACAGACCTATACAAACAATACCAGACACAGACCTATACAAACAATACCAGACACAGACCTATACAAACAATACCAGACACAGACACAGACCTATACAAACAATACCAGACACAGACCTATACAAACAATACCAGACACAGACACAGACCTATACAAACAATACCAGACACAGACCTATACAACCAATACCAGACACAGACACAGACCAACACGAACAACACCAGACACAGACCTGCACGAATGCTTGGTGATGTCGCCCTGGTTGTTGGCCCTGTACGCGGCTTGCAGCTCGCTGAGCTTCTCTGATGACGTGGCGTCCTGCTCACACTTGTCCGTGTTGGCGGCCTTCTCACAGTCCTCAAATACCTTTTGGTCCAGCATGATGACGCCATACACTGTGGGAGGGGAGGGGGGATTTGGGAGTGTGGGGAGGTGTGTGTGTGTGGGGGGGGGGGGTGTTTTGTATGTGTGCATACAATGGTTTGTGTAGTTACTGTCAGTGGCGTAGCGAGGTCGGGTGTCACCCGGTGCGGCACTTAATGGTGTCACCCCCAGAGGTGTAGCGACCCTTCCCGGGACAAACTTTAAAGTTTTCGATTTGCAACCCCCCCCCCCTCAAACTTTCCATTTGCACCCCCCCCCCCTCAAACTTTCCATTTGCACCCCCCCCCCCTCAAGTTTTTGATTTGCACCCCCTTCAAACTTTCGATTTGCACCCCCCCCCCTCAAGTTTTTCTCTATATATTTTGCTATTTTTTGCCTTGGTTTCACCCCCCATAAATGGTGTCACCCGGTGCGGTTTGCACCCCCCGCTACGCCCCTGGTTACTGTGAAGTGTGTACGTACAATCGTTGACTCACGGTCAATTTTTACTTGCAGTCATTTTATTATTGACAATCCGTTTTTTAATTATTGTTTTGGTATTTAAAATCTTTTAAAATTACATGCATGTGTATTTACATCATATATGAATATTTGAACATAGAATTATGGAGGAAAGCTAGGCAGGAGCCTATGGCTCTGCATATAAGAAGGAGGAAGTGGCGCTAGGTGGGACACACGCTACAAAAGGCTCACTCAAATGTTACACGCCAAGCGCTTGAGTGGAACCCCCAGGGAAAGCGGAAGAGAGGGCGCCCAAGACAGACCTGGAGGCGGAGTCTTCTTGAAGAACTGAAGCCAACAGGGATGTCTTGGGAGATGGCAAAATTAATAGCCGGGGATCGGAAGAAATGGAAGGAAATGGTGGAGGCCCTATGTTCCATAAGGAGCAAAGAGGACTAAGTCAAGTAAGTCAACTATTTACATCATTTAAATACTTTCAAACAAATTTAAGCTTACAATCATTTAAGCATTTTAAAGATGTAATTGCTTACAATTGTGTGTTCATACAATCGACGTGTGTACCTACAATCACTCATATCTACAATCCCTTGTGTACCTACGAAGAAGTATGTAGCTACAATCATATTTTACCTACACGTGTCTCCCTACAATCACATATCTACCTAAAAGCATGCGAGTTTCCACAATCACGTGTGTACATACAATCATGCTTGCAGTACTTACAATCCTTGACACTCCCAGTACAATACATGTAGGCGGCGCGCTTCAGATCGTATTCCGACGGGAACTGTTTTTCAAAGAGTTTGACGGCGAACCCTTGCTTATCATAGTCATCTCTCCTGGCTCTCAAGATACAGTCGCTGTATATATCCACGTCACTAGGTGGGGGAGAGGGGAGGGGGTTGTAGGTGTGTGTGAGGGGGAGGGGAGGTAGAACAAAGGACGTTAGGTAATGGATTTATGTCAACATGGAGAAAAAAAGATTTCCTCGTATCTACGTTGGATGTAGGTTTTGGGTAAATTTGCTAGAGTAAGTATTGGAGTTTGATTGCCGTTATCGAGTTTAGAAAGACTTGATGCTGATTAGTTTGGAGTCTACCATTAGCTAGTTTTACGGCATAACTCATTTTTTTACCGAAGTCAAATAATCGACAAACTCCTCTTCATTCGCAATGTTGATTTAAAAAAAAAACACACTTTTATATCGATACTAAACGGGTGCAGTACTCATCATTAATGATGTTTTAAGCATCAAGGTTAGTAATTAGGCTATGGCTTTGGGAACGGAGTTTCTTTCAGACATCTTTTAGGTGTACTGTGACCTATCCACCCCCCCCCCCCTCACCCAGCCCTGAAGCAAGTCCACATTAAAAGTTACAGGTACATTAGATGTTACAGGTACAATAGATGTTACAGGTACATTAGATGTTACAGGTACATTAGATGTTACATGTACATTAGATGTTACAGGTACATTAGATGTTACAGTTACATTAGCTGTTACAGGTAACTTAGATGTTACAGGTACATTAGATGTTACAGGTACAATAGATGTTACAGGTACATTAGATGTTACAGGTACATTAGATGCTACAGGTACATTAGATGTTAAAGGTAAATGAAATGTTACAGGTAAATGAAATGCTACATGTAAATGAAATGTTACAGGTAAATGAAATGTTACAGGTAAATGAAATGTTACAGGTAAATGAAATGTTATATAGAAAATGAAATGTTACATGTAAAATGAAATGTATCATGTAAAATGAAATGTTACATGTAAAATGAAATGTTACATGTAAAATGAAATGTTACATGTAAAATGAAATGTTACAGGTAAATGAAATGTTACAGGTAAATAAAATGTTACAGGTAAATGAAATGTTACAGGTAAATGAAATGTTACAGGTAAATGTGATGTTATAGGTAAATCAAAAGTTACAGATACATAAGAAGTTACAAGTGAGTTTGACGTAACAGGTACATTAGAAGTTATAGGTAGTTGAGATGTTACAGGTAAGTGAGATGGTACCTGCAGAACCTAAGGATCTCTAGCACACTGGTCTTTAGATTGGTTTTTCGTTTGGTCTCGGGAAGTTTCTTGGAGCAGTAATCGTCCAAAGTATCCGTCCTACAAGCCACTTCACGGAGGGATATCAGCGAAACTGGGTTGTTTAAAGACAAAACGGTTGCAAGAAAATAGTCCGACTTTATAAGCTTATTTTAAGCCACATGTTTTTTGGGGTAGATCAGGTGGATGTTTGGGTGGGTGGATGTTTGGTTGGTGGATGTTTGGGTGAGTGGATGTTTGGGTGGGTGGATGTTTGAGTGGGTGGATGTTTGGGTGGGTGGATGTTTGGGTGGGTGGATGTTTGGGTGGGTGGATGTTTGGGTGGGTGGATGTTTGGGTGGGTGGATGTTTGGTTGGTGGATGTTTGGGTGGGTGGATGTTTGGTTGGTGGATGTTTGGGTGAGTGGATGTTTGGTTGGTAGATGTTTGGGTGAGTGGATGGTTGGGTGGGTGGATGTTTGAGTGGTGGATGTTTGGGTGGGTGGATGTTTGGGTGGGTGGATGTTTGGGTGGGTGGATGTTTGGGTGGGTGGGTGGATGTTTGGGTGAGTGGATGTTTGAGAGGGTGGATGTTTGGGTGAGTGGATGTTTGGTTGGTAGATGTTTGGGTGAGTGGATGGTTGGGTGGGTGGATGTTTGAGTGGTGGATGTTTGGGTGGGTGGATGTTTGGGTGGGTGGATGTTTGGGTGGGTGGATGTTTGGGTGGGTGGATGTTTGGGTGGGTGGATGTTTGGGTGGGTGGGTGGATGTTTGGGTGAGTGGATGTTTGAGAGGGTGGATGTTTGGGTGAGTGGATGTTTGAGAGGGTGGATGTTTGGGTGGGTGGATGTTTGGGTGTGTGGATGTTTGGGTGAGTGGATGTTTGGGTGAGTGGATGTTTGAGAGGGTGGATGTTTGGGTGAGTGGATGTTTGAGAGGGTGGATGTTTGGGTGGGTGGATGTTTGGGTGGGTGGATGTTCGGGTAGGTGGATGTTTGGGTAGGTGGATGTTTGGGTGGGTGGGTGGATGTTTGGGTAGGTGGATGTTTGGGTAGGTGGTCGGATGAATGAGTGATATTTTTTCAAGCACACCAGTTACGTGGCTTTCCTATAAACCCACCCCCCCCCCCCATGACCTAATTTGGCCAATTCAGTTTACATTTTCTGTGATAAAATGTAAACCACCAAGTTGGAATAGTTTTTGGCATTAAAAAATTATTTACTTTACCGAAAATACTAAAAACATCAAATACATCCAATCTTTAGTAATCATCATCTTTTCCCGCTCGTTCCCGAGACACACGGGGCAGATGAAGTAGAGTTCATCTGTTTCAGAGATCTCGGCAAATGAAGGGATAGTAAAGCCCGAAAAAAAAAACCTTACAATTAAGTTTTTATAAACACATATTATATTTCTATAACACCGCACACGATTTTAAAACATTTTATACCTACACAATACTTGTCAACACTATTCTAAAAAATTCAACACTGTTGAATGCTGTACTGTATCCATCGAGTATTTGATGTTTACACATTTAAAAAAAAAGATATTTACCCAACATCAGCAGATGTAGGCAAAGTCTGACCATCCTGTACTCAATTATTTACACAAAAGACACACGTAAACAAGGAGAAATCATAATTTTAAAAACTTTCCGTCCAGAGATTTCAGTCCTATCAAACCATGATCTATCAACTTATCCAAACATGGCTGACTGCTTTGGGTCGAACTAGAGTATCCGCAGAGCGGAGATGACGTCATTGAAATTCCCGAATAGGGATGTAAGGATGGTGCGCATAATAGTAATATGGTGGTTCCCGAATTTTTATTGTTGCCAGTATTTTTAAACTTAAATAACGCAACATGAAATGTCTCTAAATTTCCATTAAATATTTTAAAAATTAAGTACGATGTTATTAAAATAAATGTTTATTAAAAAATGCGTGGTTTTTGTGGGACTTAGCAATAAATTTTAAATATTTTGATATTTTTTTTAGTAATTTATGGTAGCCAAACAAAATTTAAAAAAATGCAAAAACAGTTGGATTTTCTTTCGTTTTTGCGTGGTAATGATAAACAAAGACGTCGTGCTGTTTGATAGGCTAGCATAAATTATTAAGAAATACCACGCATGCGTAGAGAAGTCATATTTTTAGAATATATTAAAAGTAGCTGATGTGACATTTTAAAAACATATTGACCCGGAAGTATCTATATCTATAGCATACAAAACTTAATCTTTTACTGTGAGGTGCTTTGCAGAACGCACATAAACTAATAGAGCTTGTAAGTTCTCGTTCTCTCTCACTTAAGTCCAAGCCTCGTTAGCCAAGGAGAGATAAAAGTTTTGAACTAAATCAATCGTTGTGAACGGGATTCCCATTGGTTAAAAAAAAAACATGGCGGCTATTTGTTAGTAGGCTCCGCTTCAAGATTTAAAAATCATTAAAAATTCCCAAAATGCAACAATTGTAAAAAAAAAAATTGCAACGCTAATTTGTTTATATGGCTGGGAACAAATATATGCGCACGCATTTCTGGATATAAAAGTTTTGTGGCGGTAATTATTTTTATTTATCATTGTGTACGATTTTAATTAATAATAGCGGAAACAACTTTCCTATTTATTTCGTTACAGAGTTATTAAAAATATTCACATTCGGTTTGATAGAGAAAAAAAAAACACGTTAGCTGACAAGTACCAAAACGAGACCTTGGTAACCTACTACACAGCCCTAGGGTCGTGTGTCCTTGCTTACGTTACCTTAAAGATTTTAGACACTAACATTCATTGCATGTCAATAGACATAAAAGTGCTCACTTCTCTCTCTCTCTCCTCTCTCTCTCTCTTCTCTCTCTCTCTCTCTCTTCTCCTCTCTCTCTCTCTCTCTTGGTATTTGTAGGTTCTCTACTTCTGTATTTTCTGTGTTGAACTTCAGACCTTACGCGCTGAGAGGGGGGCTCATAACGTATTAATTAACCAGTCTTTCTAGTATCTAGTGTAGGTGCTGGGCAAGATCATCCTGTAGGAGTAGGGCAAGATCATCCTGTAGGACAAGATCATCCTGTAGAAGTAGGACAAGATCATCCTGTAGGACAAGATCATCCTGTAGGACAAGATCATCCTGTAGGAGTAGGACAAGATCATCCTGTAGGACAAGATCATTCTGTAGGACAAGATCATCATGTAGGACAAGATCATCCTGTAGGAGTAGGACAAGATCATCCTTTAGGAGTAGGACAAGATCATCATGTAGGACAAGATCATCCTGTAGGACAAGATCATCCTGTAGGACAAGATCATCCTGTAGGACAAGATCATCCTGTAGGACAAGATCATCATGTAGGACAAGATCATCCTGTAGTAGTAGGACAAGATCATCCTGTAGTAGTAGGACAAGAACATCCTGTAGGAGTAGGACAAGATCATCCTGTAGGAGTAGGACAAGATCATCCTGTAGGACAAGATCATCCTGTAGGACAAGATCATCCTGTAGGACAAGATCATCCTGTAGTAGTAGGACAAGATCATCCTGTAGTAGTAAGTCAAGATCATCCTGTAGGACAAGATCATAATGTAGGACAAGATCATCCTGTAGGACAAGATCATCCTGTAGGACAAGATCATCCTGTAGGTCAAGATCATCCTGTAGGAGTAGGTCAAGATCATCCTGTATGAGTAGGACAAGATCATCCACAAACTCCGCAAGTCTACCACATTGTTGACTGTATGCCCCCTCTAGAACTGGCCTTACCTCTACAAATGACTCCGAATTACTTCCCCCCTCCGTAGACTTGATGTTTTATTGTGTCTTGGCCAGCAGAAGACAGACCATACGACAAGACTAGAGAGGCCACAACAAATTTAATTTAAAAAAAAAACCTAGAAGATTTTGCCTTAATTAATTGATTGGTTTTAATTAAGCTTTCACAAGTTTCTTTTTTTTTTTAAATAATTACCTATATTTTAAGAGAAGGTTAAAGTTTAATTTTTTAAACGTAGATTTATCTGGATTAACTAAAATGGAAAAGAAAAGTTTATTTATAAAACAAACTATGTGTCTTTAAAAAATATTAATTTTAAAAAATATGTACCTCTGTAAGGCACATTGTTGCTATTCGGTAACATTCCATTAATGTTAAAGCTAAAAATAAGAGATATATAACACAAGACATACATACCACAAGAGATAAATATTTACGTAATTCAGATGAACACAAAATATTTCCTTTGATTTCGTTTACTTGCATAACTTCTTAGCTAACACAAAATAAAATTTAAAAATTAATATGATGAAAATGTTCTCGATTAGAAAGTTCAGTTCATGAATTCTTCCGGTTGATGAATCCTCTAACCAGGACGATAAAAAAGAAGATGATTCAAGCAGACGTGTTCTACCACGTTCTGAACAACGCAGGAACGACGATGAAACTGATGATGATGAAGATGTTGCAGATTTGTAACGAGATCCCTTTGGAGGAGCGGAGTGGGACTTCCTGGCACGTGCGGTTAAACCAGAGTGAGTTGTCGTCATCGTGGGTCCTCAGACAGTCTCTGCGGGAGAGATCAAGGTCATTGCACGTCAACTATAAGCCAACACATACGATGACACACAAGAAAGGTGAAGGTCATTACACGTCAACTATAAGCCAACACATACGATGACACACAAGAAAGGTGAAGGTGTTTGCAGGTCAACTATAAGCCAACACATACGATATAACACAAGAGGGGGTGAAGGACATCGCACGTGAACTTTAACGCAAGAGAATGACACACTACCCTGTGCAACTTACTCTCCCAATCTGGCGGAGTGATACTGGAAAAAGACGTAGTAGCTAGCGTTACATTTCACGAACTCATTCTCTACACACTTGGTGTATTTATAAGACAGCCTGTTGAATAGGTGGGGGGGGGGGGGGGGGTGACAGCAGAATATTTAATTACATAAGTCTTTCAAAACCTTATACTTGCAACATTAACTATAGTTAATGTTTCTACAGAAAGATAGTAAATATATATATATATATATATATATATATATATATATATATATATATATATATATATATATATATATATATATATATATATATATATATATATATATATATAATATATATATATATATATGTATATATATATATAAATATACACACACCACAAAAAATGTGGTATGTATTATTATGCAAATAACATCTTTTATTACACTTTTAGATGCAGTGATTGTCTTATAATTAATCTTAGAAATCTAACGAGAGCATCTAAACTTACAGAATATTTTTTTTAGCTGACAACCCCCCCCCCCCCCCCCATATCATTACAATAAAACAAGTGTGACAATCTATTTCTCTCCATTCTCTCTCATTTCCCCCTCTCTCTAATATCTAACATTCTCTCCTCTCCCCTCTCTCTCATATCGAACATTCTCTCCCCCTCTCTCTCATATCTAACATTCTCTCCCCCTCTCTCTCTCTCTCTTATATCTAACATTCTCTCCCCCCTCTCTCTCTCTCTTATATCTAACATTCTCTACCCCTCTCTCTCATATCTAACATTCTCTCCCCCTCTCTCTCATATCTAACATTCTCTCCCCCTCTCTCTAATATCTAACATTCTCTCCCCCTCTTTCATATCTAACATTCTCTCCTCTCCCCTCTCTCTCATAATTAACATTCCCCCCCCCCCCTCTTTCATATCTAACATTTTCTCCTCTCCCCCTCTCTCTCATATCTAACATTCTCCCCCTTTCTCTCATATCTAACATTCTCTCTCTCTCTTTCTCTCATATCTAACATTCTCTCTCCCCCCTCTCTCATATCTAACATTCTCTCCCCCCTATTTTCATATCTAACATTCTCTCCTCTCCCCTCTCTCTCATAATTAACATTCTCCCCCCCTCTTTCATATCTAACATTCTCTCCCCCCCCCCTCTCTCTCATATCTAACATTCTCTCCCCCCCTCTCTCTCTCATATCTAACATTCTCTCCCCCTCTCTCTCATATCTAACATTCTCTCTCTCTCTCTCTCTCATATCTAACATTCTCTCCCCCTCTCTCTCATAGCTAACATTCTCTCCCCCTCTCTCTCATATCTAACATTCTCTCCCCCTCTCTCTCATATCCAACATTCTCCCCTTTCATGCTCGAGCATCTCACGTGCACAACTCACTTGCACGAGAGAGATTTGATCAACTCGGCATTGTTTGAGCTGTAAGCGGCCTCCAGTTCCTTGAGGTTGTCAGCGTTCTTCGCCTCTCTCTCGCAGTGGCTCACGTCAGTAGCAGTTTCACAGTTGGTCAGCTTGTCGCGGTCGTCATTGTAGAACCACACGTATACTGACGACACAAACACAGACACTAAAGTGATACCACACGTATACTGACGACACAAACACACACACTAAAGTGATACCACACGTATACTGACGACACAAACACAGACGCTAAAGTGATACCACACTTATACTGACGACACAAACACAGACACTAAAGTGAAACCACACTTATACTGACGACACAAACACAGACGCTAAAGTGATACCACACTTATACTGACGACACAGACACTAAAATAATACCACACGTATACTGACGACACAAACACACACACTAAAGTGATACCACACGTATACTGACGACATAAACACACACACTAAAGTGATAACACACGCATACTGACGACACAAACACACACACTAAAGTGA